TATAAATTATTCCTTTAATACTTTGCTACTATTCTTTTACTAAAATGGCTACTTTTTTTAAAAAGGCAATATTACAGAAACACAGTTCAAAGTATGTTGGCTTATTTTACCAATCAATAATATCCAGTGCTTAAGGTCAACAAGGGGCCACATAACTGAACAGGGAGTACACATGTCAAAATATACTGCTCTGGAGATACAGGTTTCACTTAGAGTATTTTGAAAGTGCTAATAACAAGTATTCTTGATTAGGAATGAAAATGTTGTTTTTAAATGTGTGAGTCATATTAGAGATCAGCTATTAAATTCATTATTTGTTACTCAACCATTTAACACATTGTCGTCATGTTTACTTATCAATACCTGTAGAAAGAGCATTATTTTGTTTGAGCAATAACTAGGACACTTGCATTCACAGTATAAAACTCAGGTTTACTACAATGTAATAAAATTTAACCAATGAAAACTTTAAAAAAGTGTTAATGACTACACGATATCTGCAGTAATTTTTTTTTTTAATATTTAAATATTTATTTATTTATTTGGCTGTGCAGAGTCTTAGTTGCGGCATGCAGGATCTAGTTTTCTGACCAGAGATCGAACCCGGGCCCCCTGCATTGGGAGTGCAGAGTCTTAATGCTGGACCACCAGGGAAGTCCCTCCGCAGTAATTTTGTATGTGAGTCACTCCGTCAAATTCCTTGCAGGGCTTTATGATACAATGCACTCCCCTATACTTTGAGAGTTCGTGATCGGTACATGCCTGCACTTCTCAAGAGTCTCTAGAATTTAAATTCCCCTGCAGCCTTTCAAGAAGGATCATTCCTCGTATCCTAAGGCAAACATCTTCCCAGGAGCACAAGTCAAACAGAAAAGTCTGTCTCCTCTCTTTAGAAAAGCTTTACATAGTGGAGCTGCATGGGCACATTCTTTTCACTGCGGGGAGAGAAGCTACAAAGTAAAAAAAAAAGAAAGCATATCGGGAGAGAGCCCCGATTATATATAAAAATTCTAAGGTGCTAGTTGCACAAACTATCTTAACCATTCACAAATCTGTAAAAATATTAATAATAATAATGTACAAATCCATGTACCCATCATTGAGTTTTAACAAATATTAACATATTTTCATATTTGCTTAAGCTCCCTTTAAAATAGAAGAAAAAGTTATACGTAGATTTGGGACTTCCCTGGTGGTGCAGTGGTTAAGAATCTGCCTGCCAAGGCAGGGGATAAGGGTTTGAGCCCTGGTCCGGGAAGATCCCACATGCTGCGGAGCAACTAAGCCTGTGCGCAACAACTACTGAGCCTGCGCTCTGGAGCCCACGAGCCACAACTACTGAGCCCACGTGCCACAACTACTGAAGCCCACGTGCCTAGAGCCCGTACTCTGCAACAAGAGAAGCCACCGCAATGAGAAGCCCACGCACTGCAATGAAGAGTAGCCCCCGCTCGCGCCGCAACTTAGAGAAGTCCTGCGCACAGCAACGAAGACCCAACGCAGCCAAAAATAAATAAATTAAATAAAATAAATTAAAAAAAAAAAGTTATACATAGATTTGAAGGAGCTCTACCCAAACCTTCCTTCTCCAGAGTTACCCTCTATTCCTAAAGTTAATGTGTCTTATTTCCATGTATATTCTTATACTTTTATGTACTCTCACTAGATACATACATATCAATAAACAGTAATATGCTATATTGTTTCAAAACTCTACATAAATGCATAATACAGTATTCATATATCCTTTGGCAACTTGCTTTTTTTTTTTTTTTTGTGGTATGCGGGCCTCTCACTGTTGTGGCCTCTCCCGTTGCGGAGCACAGGCTCTGGACGCGCAGGCTCAGCGGCCACGGCTCACGGGCCCAGCTGCTCCGCGGCATGTGGGATCTTCCCAGACCGGGGCTCGAGCCCGTGTCCCCTGCATCGGCAGGCGGACTCTCAACCACTGCGCCACCAGGGAAGCCCAGCAACTTGCTTTTTTTACTCAATATTATGTACTTGAAATATGTATCCATGTTATAAACAAACATCTAGTTTATTCATTTTTACCAAGGGATAGTATTCCATTGCATGAATAAACCATAGTTTATCCATTTCCCTACTAAAGTACAGCTGGATTGTTCTACTTTATCACTATTTTAAGAGCTGCTATAATCATCTTTGTTAGATGTTTGCTTGGGCAATTGCTCCAATTTTAGTTAAGAATTCAGCTCAACAAAAATTTAGGTTGCGGAAGAAAAGAACCCTTAGAATGAAAGTAAATTCACCCAGATCCCATTGACCCAGTCTTTTTTTTCCATAGGAGTTGAGAAAACTGTACATTTTTCTTCAAAACCAAACTGTATGAACTGTACAATAAAAGAGTAAGTCTACAAGAGCCCCCAAAAGTACTCAATACATCTCTGATTTGAATATTTCTGCTCTATTCATGTGGATCAATTAATTCACCTATGTTCAGCTCTTCTGTCACTTGTGTGATGCTGGCAAACATCAAGACAGAATGTAAAGATGGCACCATTACATCTATAGACGAACGGGAAATGGGGATAGGAAAATAAATGTAATGCTAAAAAGGACCACGTCATAATTGGTTGCTATTTTATTTGTGGTTACCGCGCATTTTCTTAAGGACTGATATCCTTAAGAAATCTACTTCCTTATAACTGATGACTGAATTAATTGGTCATTTATGAAAAGTTAAAAGAAAAAATATGTTTAAAAAAAACTCTACCAGAAATATCTATATCCCTAATACCGTTAGAGTATGTGGTAGGTTTAATTCCACAAAGTTATTAAAATCCTCACAGCATTCCTCTGAGTGTCGGAGAAAAGGGCTCAACCTCACACTACATCAAAGCAAGCCTTCTTTTACACCAGCTCAAAAATCACCACTCTCTACCTTCCTTCCTAGTTTTTCAACTCATACCTTACCTAGTCTCATATTAATAAAGAATTATAAAAGGTTTTTACAAGTCAGTCATATTCTTTGGAAATACCTTTAGAATGGATCCAGCAATACTGCATTTAACCCATGTTTTTCATGAAAATGTGTAAGATTGATAGTACTCTTCCCATCTAATCACATGAAAACTAAAATCAGTTCTCAGTGAGGTTGTTACCATACCTTTTGCTTCTTTGACAGTCAAAATGCCCGAAGTAAGTCAATGACAACCTAAGTTCTGAAAGGCTGAAATATGGAGAAAAGGGATTCCAGTTCACATTGCATAAATCAACTTAAAAAATAAGGGGCTCACATAATGCCAACTTAAATCCCCCCCACACAAATTACGTGTTTGGTTCTTTATGTTCTGCATCATCTTTTCAAATTTTAATATTGTGAAACAGCTTCTAACATTTCTTGCTATAGCTATGAATCTTAAGTCTGCCAATACTAGTCATTGTTTGCAAACTAAGTAATAAATTTAAACTAGGTATAGATTCCATCAGCATTTTAGGTTCTAATGGAACACATTAAAGGTTCTAATGGAACACCAAAGTTACTATAGACCAACCTGAAATCATATTTTCTCTAAATATACCCCTATATCATAAACCTATCTGGAAACTATCCCTTGATTTTTAAAAGTAAACTATAGTTCTTTTCTAAAAAAATATTCAGTTCTCTTTCACACCATTTAGAAAACAGCGAGTCAGTGGATCATGATGTAGTGGAAAAGGAAATGACTTATAAAAATGGCTAATATGTATTGAATATCTACATACAGTGCCAAGCACTGTAAAAAAAATATGATACATGAACCATTACATGTAAAGGTAACTTATGAGGAAGGTACTTTTATACCCGATTCAGAGATAAGGAAATGGAGGCAGATAAGTAACTTGCCCAAACTCAAAGATGTAAGTGTATGTGACTCCAGGTATGCTCAGGTCTAAAGCACTTCACCACTATGCTTGTATTATCAAGATTAAAATACTGTAATCTACTGCAAGAGCAAATTTTTCACTCCTTAAATTCTTAATTTTATTCTTTAAAGCCTTTTAAAGAACATTTACAGCCACCAACAAATCCAAAAGGCAACAGACTAAGGATCTGCGTTTGTGTTCAACAGTGATTTCCTTTTCCATTCTAAACCAAAAGGAGAATACTCTACTTGGATAAGCCACTTCAGCCCGTGTGCTTTTCCTCTTCCCTCATCAACAAAGACCTAAGCAGTACAACACTTCGGCGAACCTACACTTGTCTGTCTCCAAAGTAGCCCTATTACACAGAGGACCAACACCACCGTCAGGACCATTTCCTTACGACAGCCCCTATGTTATTCTGTTCCTATCTTCACTTCTCAAAAGAACTTAACCACCCTCTGCTGGATAACTTGACACGACAAAGGACTAAGGCTAAACTACTAATGCTTAATATCAAAGTCATTTTCTTTTTCCACAACCGCCTTTTCAAGCCAGCAAAACTCTCGGTTCACTCTCCACCGCGATCTGCATCTAGGAACAAACCCACCTGGGACACTCACCAAGGTTCGCCGCCAGGGACCCTGGTTTATCTGGTCGGCGCCTAGAGTGGGCATTCAATAAATCCTCCTGAATGAATTGGTGGAAGGCAGGGTGGGGGGAGGCGGGAAGGGGGGCGCGAAGGAATTTCACGACCCTGAGATCTCTGCAGTGGCGCCCGGTCTGGGGAGGAGGAACCGGGGCGACTGAGAGAACCTGGAGCCGCTGGGTGCTCCTCGACAGGCAGGTCTGTTGGTCGGACGCTGGCTTGGGAAGACGCGGGCGCCGTCTCCGTGAGTCTCCGCAGCGCGCTCCCGGGCCTCGGCCTGCGCCTCCGCCTTTCTCCCGGACCCCGGCGTCCCGCACGCTGGAGGCCCCGGCCGATCAGCCCTCCGAAGCCACGGGCCAACCCAGGACCCGCGCTCGCTCACCTGCCGCTCCCGCTACAGCACCCCGGTCTGCATCCGGCGCGAGCCTGGCAGTCCCGCGGGCCCGTGAGATCAGCTGATTCACGGGGGGCGGGGCTTCTGGGCAGGGGCTGGGCGGCGAGCGAGTGTGAAGGCCGGAGATCACTCCCGACGTAGGTGGGGTTAGATGCCAACGGAGTCTGGTAGGGATCAAAATTACTAAAGGGGCGTTAGGCACCGCGGGCAACGTTCCCGAGATACTGCCTTTCCCTTAGGACCAGGCAGAGCCACGACTCCTAAGATGCACTTGGGCAATGACGTAACGTGGCGTCGCCAGGGCCTAACTACGAGCGGTTCCATGGTAACGGTGAGGAGAGTGGTTGGGAGCTGCAGTCATTTTGCTGCTACCTCAGACTGCTGTAGTCCGAAGGGTAAGTTCGTTACTCTTGACAGTGAAAAGGCTAAAATGTCTTCAGACTGCTTCTATAGACTGTACCCTAATGGTAGTCACTTCCTCCCCCGAGAATGACGTCATCGCCAGGCGGCTGGGATTGGCGCTAGTATCCGCACTTTTTACTACTTCGTTGCAACCCCGAAGGATGGAGTGTGGTAAGAGGAAATGAGTTGGCCTCTCCTGTGATCCCCACTGAGCTCTCCCGTATGCAATCTGAGTAACGCCAGTTTGCTCAGCACACAGTTTCACGACTGTCTGCTTGTTGCAGTCACAGCCCCACCACGACTCAGCTCGCGCCCCCTAAGTCCCCTCGTGAAGATTTTCCCGAGACGCCACTCATGACAGTGGGTGCAAACTCTACTGCTGGGCAGTGTGCCATCGCTGGACCTGTAAACCTGTATTCAGACCATCAGCGAAAGATGTGCAGTCAGGGTCTGAAAATCCTGTGCATAAATGGTCTATTAAGTTCACCAACATCCTCAACTCGATTGCCTCCTTGATCCTCCATCACCTGCAAAACCGTTAGTTTACAACAGTTCAACCAACCTTGTACACTCTTGCACCAGTGCTGGAAAAAACATAACCCTGAGGATTGGTACCACTGCAGACCAAGGGTGTCCAACTTCAGTCAGGACTACCATGTGGCCAGGCAATCTTGTTAAGCCCCAAATTGTCCTTAACACATTGCTATTCAGAATTTCTCCTATCCCTATCCCCTGTTCTTCCCAGCCCATACACTCTCCTAACTTTTTACTGAACTCTACCCACCCACCCTCTTTGGTAAAAATTTAAAAAAAATAAACTTTGCCTCCTACATTTCTAAGGAAAATGAGACCCCCCAGGGATGAATTTCCTTAACTCCCAGCAGCCGCTATCACAAAGCCTACCTGCAGCCCCAGCCTTCCTTTCCTTCGCCCTCTTTCTCCTTAGAAGTGTTCTGGCCTCTCAAGGTTAATCCCTTCCAATCCACTTAGAGGCTTGCTCCATTACTTATCGCTTCTCTTTTGTGTATTTTCAACCTCCCTGTCTCTTGTTACTCTTACTGCTAAGGATATGAGCCTGTTCCTGCATATCCATCTTTAATTTCTTTTTCCTTTGTCCTCCTTTCTTTTACTTTCTGACCTCCCAATCTTCCTCCTCCCAATCTGCAGTCTCTGCTTTTTCAGGTCTACTGAAACCAGTAATCACCTTCTAATTTTGAAAGCTAATGATACATTCTAAGAATGGAACCATTCTATGCAACCATTTAAAAGAAGGAGAATGCTCTGTATGTATTGATGTGGAATGATCTGGAAGTTAGGTTAAGAGAAAAAATGCTAGATGCTGAATCATGTGAATTGTATTCTACCAGTTACATGTTATGTATGTCTTTTCACAGGATGAGAAAGAGAGGATATATATCCTTGTCTTTGTATATTCATATCTTGGCTCTGACAGGATGCATTAAAGTGACTGACACTGGGGAGGAAAATTGGGAACAAAGGTAGGAAAAAAACACACTTTTCACTCTATGCCATATTGCACTGTTTGAACTTGTAACTTTACAAATATAGTTTGAATATGCTTTTTTAAACTTATTTTTAAAGCTTTTAAATCTAAAAAAAAAGGTACAATTTTCATTCTTATCTTCCTTTCCCTCTTTTCCTCCTTGTTTTCTGGGATGCATTCCTTCTGGGTTTTCTCCTACTCCTCAGACCTTTCCTTTACATTTCAGACTCTTTCTTTCACTTGTCCCTTATATACATGGACTAAATAAATATTTATTGCACACTTATTATGTGCCAGGCACTGTTCTAAGCACTAGAGAGACACAACAATTAGCAAAACAGATAAGAGTGCCTCCTCTCATGGAACTTGCACTCTGTTGATGTGGAAGATAGTTTCCAACGATGGCCACCATCAGTTCCCCCTTCATGTATAGAAATGCCACTCTTGACATCAAGAGATGCAGTCTATAGCCTTTTCCCCTGAATATGGGCTAGCCTATGGTTGTTTTCCCAACTAATAAAATGTGACAGAAATGAAGTTCTGATACTTCTGAATCAAGGCCTTAGAAAGAACTGGCAGCTTCCACATCCCCGTCTGAGAGGCCAGCTGCCTACCATGCTCCAACTATACTATAGATTGATAAAAGACAATATGAAGAGATAGGCCACATGGAAGAGCATTAAGGTGCCAGTCTTCTGGGACCTTCCAGGCCAGCCCAGTTACTGGCTGAATGCAGCTGAGTGAGTGACACCAGCCGACATCAAGGTGAGTGTAACAGCCTAGTTAAGCCCTGCCTGAACTCCTGACCCACATTCCCAAGAAATAGTAACTTGTTGCTTTGAGCCACTAAGTTTGGGGGATGGTTGGTTATGCAGCAATAACTGAGACAAGTGGGAAGAGTGAGAGGTAAACAAATACAGCAGTGACTAGGGCTACAAAGAAGCAAAATAGTATAGCAGCTAAAAACACAGCCTGGGTTCAAATCTCAGCTCTAGCACTTACTAGCTTAATGACCTTGGCACAAGTTATTTAACCTCTATGTACTGCTGTTTCTTCATCCATAAAGCAGGGATCGCAAAGTCAGCTACTTCATAGGGTGATATGAGGACTAAATATAAAGTGCTTAGAATGCTACCCGGCATATAAGTGCTATATAAATGTTGTTGTTTTGTATGAACAATAAAGAAATGTAAAGGAATAGACAGGGAAGAGTGCAATTTCATGTAAGGTGTGCAGGGCAAGCCCCTTTTCCAAGAAGACATCTGAACAGAGATCTAAAAGGAAGTGAGGGCACAAGCCGTGTGAATATCTGACACTCCAGGCAAAGGGAATAAGTAACTGTGAAGGCTAGGAGGGCAGTGTGGCTAGAGCTGAAAGAGAAGAGATTGAAAGAGGCTGAATGAGGCTAGAGTTAAATGAGAAGAGGTTGAAAGGTAAGAGATAAGATCAGGTAGACAATGATCTGGTAGTAGGAGCAGATCCTCTGGGCCATGCAAAGGATGGAAAGGACTTTAGGTTTATCTGAATGATAAGAGCAACCATTGGGGCTTTGAGCAGAGGGTGTTGTAATCTGGCTTCTGTTTTAAAAGGATGATTCTTCTGCTCTGTGGAGAGTGATCCTAGTGTAGGAGTTTAAGAGCGGAAGCAGGGAGAGCTGAAAGAGGCTATCGCAGTACAGTTGTCCCTCAGTACCCATGGGGGATTGGTTGCAGGACCCCTGTGGATACCAAAATCTGCAGACACTCAAGTCCCTTATAGAAAATGGTGTAGTATTTGCATATAACCTATGTACATCCTCCTGTATACTTTTTTAAAATTAATTAATTTATTTATTTATGGCTGTGTTGGGTCTTCATTTCTGTGTGTGGGCTTTCTCTAGTTGTGGCAAGCGGGGGCCACTCTTCATCGCAGTGCGCGGGCCTCTCACTATTGCGGCCTCTGTTGTTGTGGAGCACAGGCTCCAGACGCGCAGGCTCAGTAATTGTGGCTCACGGGCCCAGTTGCTCCGCGGCATGTGGGATCTTCCCAGACCAGGGCTCGAACCCGTGTTCCCTGCATTGGCAGGCAGATTCTCAACCACTGTGCCACCAGGGAAGCTCCCTTCCTGTATACTTTAAATCACCTCTACATTACTTATAATACCTCATACAATGTAAACGTCATATAAATAGTTGCCTGGAACAGCAAATTCAAGTTTTTCTTCTTGAAACTTTCTGGAATTTTTTTTTTTTCAAATATTTTCAATTTGTTGTTGGTTGAATCGGTGGATGCAGAACCCGCAGACACAGGAGGGCCAAGGCAAACAGTTACCTGGCTTGGCCTAGGATGGCAGTGGAGGAGAAGGTGAAAAGGAGTTGGACTCCTGATGTGTTTTGAAAGTGGAGCCTACAGTATTCGCTCATGGATTAGAAATGAGCAATTGAGACAAAAAGAATTAAGGCCTGAGTTATTGGTAAAAATGCACTGTTGCTTACTGAGATGGAAAAGACTGGGAAAAAGAGTATGTCTGGGGACATAGGGAGGAAGTACCAAGTATTCATATTTGAACGTGTTATAGATTATATTGCTAGTAAGCATCTGAATGGAAATGCCAAGTAGACAATTGCATATATAAGTCTTGTGTTGAGAAGAAAGATCAGGGCTAGAGATAAAATTTAGGAAGTTGTCCATGGAAAAGATAAGCAGCCTGAGGCCCAAACTCTATTTAGAGATTAAGAAGATAGGGAGGATCTAGCCCAGAATCCTGCTAGGTTCTTTGAGAGGAGAATTTACTTGTGTTTGAGAAATAGAAAGAAGGCAAAAGTATCTAGCACAGAGGGAAGAGTGGTAGAAAGTGAAGTTGCAGTGATCATGTGAGGGTTGGTAGGCCAGGATATGAGTTTGTTTTTTATTCTAAATGCAAGGGGAATCATCAGAAAGTTTTAAGTGGGGAAGTGACCTGATTTTATTTATATTTTTGAAAGTTCATTCTGCCTAGTACTTTATGTATACGTCCAATTTCATTACACAGAATATTAAAAGGAAGTTTACTCAAGGGTTGAGATTTAGTAATATTAATATTTTTAAATTTCATTCTGACTGAATAGATTACAGGAGAATAAGAATTGCAGCAGGGAGACCAAGGAGAAGGTATTTCATTAGGCCAAATGAGCGATGATGATGACTTGGACTAGGGTGATAGCAGTACAAATTGAGAATTAGGTAGATTTGAGAGTAGAATTGTCATGATTTAGTGATGGATTAGACATAATTTTGATTCATATCCTGCCTGGGTTTTCTGTTGAGCAAGTGATTCATGGGCGTTCTGTTTTCTAAACTGGAGAAGACTAAGGAGAAGCATTTGGCATGGTTCTAGAGGTCTGTTGTTGGCATATTGACTTTGGGATACCTTTTTGGCATCCAAGTGGAAATATCAAGTTGGAAGTTGGGGTTCTAGGGAGAAGTCAGGTCTGGAGATAGAGATTTGAGTCATTTGCACATAGGTGCCATTCAGAGCTAAAGGGACTAGATGAACTTACCTGGGAAGAAAGTGTTGATAGGAAGGTGTAGATAAGGCTGGGACAAAGAACTGGGTTGCCCAAGCTTAGAAGTTGAGCAGAGGAGGAGGAACCAGGAAGGATGATTGCAAAGGAGTCCCAGAGAGGTAGGGGGAAAACTAGGAAAGTACCCACTTCCCAGAAATCAGAGACTCTCAAGAAGGATGGCATGATAAACGGTGTTGAATGCTGCTAAATGGTAAAGTAAGATAAGGTATGAGAAGTGATTTGATAAGATGGAATCTCTGGTGACTTGATGTGAGGAAAAAAAAATGTTGCATGCCGTTCCAATTCTACAGGAATCAAGCCATTAGCCACTGCAGTTGCCCACTGACAGTGCACCCAGAGGGGAATTCAGGATGGAGAAAAACAGGAAACATTCTGTGCCTTGGATATACTGGCCCTTAGATAATTAAGATGCATATCTAAGGAAAATTTTCAAATGACCCCAGATTCTTGCTTATTCCCATACACAGAAAAGCACTAAAATCATTAACTTCAGCTATCTGTTCTTTGTGATTAGCAGTAATCTTTTGATGCTTGACTACACGTTTTTCCCAGTTAAAAAAGTTCATATGTATATCCTAGCTCCTCCCTTACCTCTTCAGAGCAGTTCCTCAGAGCTCTCTGAGAGGCTGTCTCCCAGGCTATTGTCCTCAGTAAGGTCCCTGAATAAAACTTAACTCACAACTTTTACGTTGTGTATTTTTCTTTCAGTAGACATTGACAAGAGCAGGTTCAGTGGAGCAATAGACAAAGAGGCTTTACTGGGGGTGAGTTTAAGAAAGAATAGGAGGTGAGGTAGCAGGGACATCTCCTTCAAGAAGTTTTGCTGTGAAGTGGAATAGAAAACTGGGGTAGTAGTTGGAGGGGAATGTGATGTCAAGGTATAGAATAGATACCCAAAACCCAAGCATTAAAAAAACAGATAATTGATATGAGAGCCAACCCAGATTTCCCATTGGAAAGAAACTGACCTTGTAAGGAAAAAAAGAAAAGATATCCAAACATGTCTTTCTAGATATTGTCATAGACTCAATACTGTCAGCACACAACCTGAGTTGAATTTAGTTATAAATATAAGCTCTTTTAGCATGGCATGTATTACACTAATTTGCAAACCTATATGTCTCTCTTGTTAGATTCTAAGGTCCCAGACTGTATTTTCTTATTTTTTAATTCTCTAGAGACCAGCAACAGTGCCTTAAACTTAATAATTATTCAGTAAATTGTTTATTGAGATCTAGCAATTTAACAATTTGTTGAAATGCAGTTCATTGAAATAGACTTAAGTGCTTGCCTCTTCTGCCAGCTACCCTGACTGACATAGGATCTTGTTCCTATTCTGATTGATTGCCCCCTGGGAGGAATTGAGTCATGATTCTCCCACTTTCCTATCTTTAAAAGTAATGAAATAAAATTCATATTTAATGGCAAGATGAGGAAAATTAAAACAAAATTTTTCTTTGCCCATTTGGGCCTCCTCACTTCCCTTTAGTTTGTATTTTGCATCTATATTAACCAGACCTCCTTAGGAGATACCATTGCTTCTTAATCTCATCAAGGGTCGTGACTCCTTAGGAGATAACCTTCCTTCTAAATCTTGTAAGGGGCCATGACAATCCATGACCCACTACTCACTTTGTACATGTAGATCTGTATTGTGTAAACTGTCAACAATATGTCATTTGACATATGTCATTTGACATATAATATAACCCTTTGCCTCAAAAACTTGTATAACTGTACTTTGCTCTCTAATGGGTGGAACAGTCCTCAGAGCTTTCTGGAAGACTGTCTCCCAGGTTATAATCCTCAGATTGGCTTGAATAAAATTTTCTATTTCTTTCTTAGATTGGCTGTTGATTAATGTTCCTGTTGGCGAAAGTCCTACAAGAATCCTTCTGGGCTCAAAGGGCAAAAGGATTGAAGGTGGTGGTTTACCTGCCCTGAGGCAATCCATGGGTGAGTGTGTGAATGTGTGTGAGGGGTGGTTAGTGGTAATGCACCCTCTGAAGGTAATGATAGTTGGACTAATTTTAATAATATTGCAATATAATATATTTTATAATGTACAATTTGCAAAATGCTTCTTATATGTGCTTTATCCTCAAAACAACCCCATGATAGGTAATTATTCCTAGAATACAGATGAAGAAACTGAGGCCCACTGACTTGTCCAAGTTAAACTAACTACTATTAAGTGGCAGAGGGATTCAAACCCAGGTCTCCAAATCTGGATCTCCAAACTCCAAGTTCTCTGTTTTGTCCCCTACTTCAACTCCAACTGGATCAATGTGTTGAATATAGAGTTCAGGACTAAGATTAAAACGTAGGGTTCCAAAAGAGGATGATAGAGGATGACAGAAAAGAAGTAACAGAGTCAGTGAAGGCCAGTATTAGAAACTGAGAATAAGACTCATGGGAGGGCAGGGTTCAGGGATATGCCTCAGAGTAGGATCAGAATGAACAATAAGTGAACGCTGATTTTAGGCTCCCATCCTCTACATGAATGAATGTGAATGTGTGTAGGGGTGCATTCATACACATATGTACATGCTGTTATTTAATTTTTTTTTTTTTTTTTTTTGCGGTACGTGGGCCTCTCACTGTTGTGGCCTCTCCCATTGCGGAGCACAGGCTCCGGACGCTCAGGCTCAGTGGCCATGGCTCACGGGCCCAGCTGCTCCGCGGCATGTGAGGATCTTCCCAGACCAGGGCACAAACCCGTGTCCCCTGCATTGGCAGGCGGACTCTCAACCACTGCGCCACCAGGGAAGCCCTGTTATTTAATTTAACAGCCATTTAATAGGAATCTGAAAGGAGTATAAGATATAGTTCATACCCTCAAAGAATGTTTTTCTCAACTTGTTAGGAAAACATTAAAAGTAGTTACTAGAGTGTTCAGACAGTCAGTGATCCAGGAGCTCATCCTTGGAAGAGATGGGGGTGTGGAGTGGGGAGAATCAAAGAAGCAAGGAAAGGTTTTGAGCAGAGATAGAACCTCAGCCAGGACTTGAAGGATGGATAGGTACAGGGGAGGGAAGAAGGTGTCAGTGGAGAGACACATGAAGGTTGAGTCAGAACAGCAGGGAAGGTCTGTTGGACAGTGAAGCTACTGGTGTGACTACAGTGACGAGTAGGGGGATGAGTGGGGAATAGTGGAGGGTGAGGCAAGATAGAGTCAGGTTGTCTGAAGCCAAGCTGAGGAATTTAGACTTGATTTCATAGGTAACTAAGGGTCTGTGAGGATGTATCAGAAATGATCAAAGAGGAATTTTAAAAGTATACCACAGAAACTTCTTCTGGGCTTTCAAAGTAGTTGTAGTCTGTGTTTTTTATTCTACTTAACCGTTAAAACAGAGGCTGTGTGTGTGTGTGTGTGTGTGTGTGTGTGTGTGTGTGTGTTACATTTTTTATTCTTACTGAATTAGATTACATTTCTCTCCCAAGTTAAATAGGTAGTTTAAAACAACTTACACCTTCGTTTTTAAAAATGGATGCTGAGATTCTAAGTGGCTGAGATTTTAGAAAAGGGGCACCCAAATCTCATTGACATCTGGGAGCATTTTACTCTGGGGCTGAACTTCATGTAAGAAGATAATGACCAAGATGAGGAGCAAAGACCTGCTGATGACATATTGTAATTTGGGGGAATGGTTTAAAAAGAAATGCTCTTACTCACCTCATACCAAAAATAGTGGATTAGGGCTTCCCTGGTGGCGCAGTGGTTGAGAGTCCGCCTGCCGATGCAGGGGACACGGGTTCGTGCCCCGGTCCAGGAAGATCCCACATGCCGCGGAGCGGCTGGGCCCGTGAGCTATGGCTGCTGAGCCTGCGCGTCTGGAGCCTGTGCTCCGCAACGGGAGAGGCCACAACAGTGAGAGGCCTGCGTACCGCAAAAAAAATAGTGGATTAAATGACTAACCACCAGATGTAGGTAAGCAGGTGCTAACTTGTTATTTTTAAAATGGAAGCACATAGCTGTATGAGATATGTTGAGACATATATTAATAAATCCTATATTATGACATAGAAGTAACCATTAGAGGAAGCATATATTAATTAAAAAGTAAATATCTATATTTAAATGAAATAAAACCTTGCCTGAATTTCCTTTAAAAAAATTCTTCTGGATTTGAGTTATTGTTATGTAATATGTGCCTAATAATGTCACACTTCTCTCTCTTATTCTTTCCTTACCTTAGTTTTTTGACGAAACCCATTCTACTGGCATAGCTTAGCTTTCTGATCTCAAGCTAGGCATTACAAGTCACTGTTTTTCCTAAAAGTAAAGAGCAGTAGTTTGGGCTAAAGCGCCTCCTTCCTTAGTGTGTATTACACATATAACATGTAAATTGTTATAAATATTTAAAGAAAGCATTTAGCCCCCAGCCTACAAAAGATAGCATCTCAAATATGTATTTGCAGATGAGTTTTTTGAAACTTAGAACATGCTTTTCCATGGTAACAGTGAGGTAAATAATGGATTAGTTCCTGGACTAATCTACAAATGTTATTTGATTTATGATGTCATTCAAATAATGTGCATTTACAATTAAAAATATAACTGAGGTGGGACTTCCCTGGTGGCACAGTGGTTAAGAGTCCACCTGCCAATGCAGAGGACACAGGTTGGAGCCCTGGTCCAGGAGGATCCCACATGCCATGGCACAACTAAGCCCGTGCGTCACAACTACTGAGCCTGCACTTTAGAGCCACGTGCCACAGCTCCTAAAGCCCATGCACCACAACTACTGGAGCCTGCGCACCTAGAGCCTGTGCTCCACAACAAGAGAAGCCACCACAATGAGAAGCCTGCTCGCTGCAACTGGAGAAAGCCCACACACAGCAACGAGGATCCAACGCAGCCAAAGATTAATTAATTAAAACAAAAAAATATATATATGTATATATATAACTGAGGGACTTCCCTGGTGGTCCAGTGGTTAGAACTCTGTGCTTCCAATGCAGGGGGTGTGGATTGGATCCCTGGTGGAGAACTAAGGTCCCACATGCCATGCCATAGGGCCTATGTACATATATATATAAATATACCTGAAATCAATACTTCTGCAATATTTAACAATTTAAAAAACAAGAAGGAAAACCCCTTGGTATTGAATGAATAATTTTTCATGAATGCTGGTAGTTAAAGAAAGGCAGGTTTTAAGGGTCAAGGAGAAAAGTTGGATGAAAGTTTTGGATTTCCAGAGTGGGAAGCAGCACCCCATACTGGAACCCGAGCAACAGGAAAAACCTGCGCCCTTATACCTGTATAGATCTAAATATCCTCCCATCAGAAAAAGTTAATAAAAACCCTATAATTTGGAAAAACATAGATAGATAGATAATAGATAGATAGATAGATAGGAAAAAAATCCCACATTGCCAATCTGCTTACACACCCCTGTCAATCAGCCCTCATAAACTGTCACAGCCAGTTGGGGGGTGGGAGGAAGGGCAGGGGTCAGCAGCCACGCTGTAGGGGCCAGGGGTTGATTGGAAATGACTGCTCTGTGTGTGCAGAGATGAGAGGTCGTAAATAAACAAGCAACAGCTTGTCTTTGTTTAAAATGTTAATACTGTATTCTGTTCATCATGGATTTTTTGCATTAATTTTTATTTTAATTAAAAAAATTTATATTTAAAAATATTGCATCAAAAATATTGCATCAAGATTATTTATCATTTTAATTTGTTTTGATTACTGAGGGTTTGTTTGTTCATTTTTGGTGCCCCCCTTCTTCCCCACTTATGCCTCATCTCAATCGGGCACTGGCTGGTGGGAAGCAATGAGAAAGGAAACTGCACAAGGGTCTCCCCAGGTTAAGCTTTTCTTCCTTTTTTTCTTTTTTTCTCTGTGTCTCCCTCTCCCAACATCTTTTCCTTCTTCCCTCTCTCCCTCTCCCCACCCCCACCTTCCCCTCCTTACCTTTCTTTTTTGTTGTTGTTGTTTTTGTTTTTGGATTTTTTGCCATACGCGGGCCTCTCACTGTTGTGGCCTCTCCCGTTGCGGAGCACAGGCTCCGGACGCGCAGGCTCAGCGGCCATGGCTCACGGACCCAGCCGCTCCGCGGCATGTGGGATCTTCCCGGACCGGGGCACGAACCGGTGTCCCCTGCATCGACAAGCGGACTCTCAGCCACTGCGCCACCAGGGAAGCCCCCTATCTTTCTTTTTAATTTTTTTTAATACTTTTCTTACTCTGGGTCTCCAGCCCATCAGCTTTCCCCTAGCTGTTACTGAAGGCTCTGCCCTGGCCCGGAGCTAACTGGCTTCTGGGGGACTGGGAGCTGGGGAGGGCTCAGTATTTCTGAGAGGAAGAGGCCTAATCGATTTGCACAGGTTTAAAAACACTTAATTTTTAAAAATCCTCTACATTTCAGAGCCTTGGAGCCAAGTTTGGTTTGCCCAGCCCTAGTAACTGCTAGGCTTTTGTATATGATAAAGGCAATTGGAAGATTAAGAAAAACTTATGAAGTAACTGGGTGAGGAGAAGGAAAAAAAAAGATTTTTTTAAAACGGATACGTGTAAACTGGAGAAAGATCGCCTGAAGTGGAATCACCGTGGCTGAGTGGCAACGTCCAAAGAAAATTGAGGTGAGTGTGTGGTGGAGGAGGTTGGGGCATTCTCTTGAGGAAAAAAAGACGTTTGGAGGGAGGAAAAGTCGAGTTGGCCAGTTCTCCGCCCTGGCCACCTAGTGGTGCTGTCGGTACAAGGCTGGCTGCTTTCCGGAATGAAAGACTAGGTGGGGATCCGGTATCCTGGAGCAGAGATGGGGAGAGGGAATCTCAGAGTGGGCCACACAGTTTGTGGGTATAAGAAATTTACAAGTCAGGTTTTTGTAAGTTTGTTTATTTGTATTTACAGACCCACAGTATACACATATTTTAAAGTAATAGTAAATTGCAGGAGATGGTTTCAAACAGTTCTAAAGCTACTATAATACTTTTAGTACTCTGGAGAGTGCTACGCTTCAGCATGAAAAAGGATGGGTTTTCGGGCTAGACCATTTTACTCTGACAGAGCAAGAAACCTTAGGACAATGTTAAAGAAGATTATGGGAGCATTTTAATCCATTTCACAGAAATTAACAATGGCACGTTGTACAGCGGTAGCATTATTTTTAGTCACCAGCCTGAGCACTTCTTTAGTGGACTAATTGTTCTCATTGTAAACTGACTGTGAGGGGCTACTGGGAAGAGATGCAGATTGTGCTGAAGACCACAGGAGGAAGACACTCACTTCAGCCTCTGCTTTCAGGGATGCATGTTTCCTGTCACATGGCTTAGAGTACCATTCTGGGTACCAAGAAACAAAATTCCTGTCCATGTACAAGAGAACACTGTGCTGAGTTAATGGACCCACTGTATGTCAGGGAAAAGGGTGCTCATAGCACCTGGGTGCTCATTGTGTGGAGACATGGTTAAGAGCACAGATCCTCGAATCAATACCAGTGGGTTTAAATTCTAATTGTGACACTTTATACTCTAAAAAATGTGGGGCAATCCTCAGTTTTCTCATCTAAAATTGGGGGAATAAATATCTATGTCACAGAAATAAATGAGATAATATATATGAAGTGCTTGGTTAGAACAGATCAAAAAATGGTAGCCGTATTAGGTGGCAATGCCTAATGAAAGAACAGAGGACCAGGAACAGGCGTGGTAAGTCTTTGGTATGACATTATCTCCCAACTCTTAATTTATATCAAGAAGGAAAATGGTCAAGTAGGTTTAAAGTACAGACATCAGAGCTTTTCTGCTTTGGTTTAAATCCTGGTTCCACCACTTTTTTCTTGTGTGGCCTTGGGCAAATTGTTTAATGCTTCTGACTACAGAACTGTTATGAGTAAATACAGGTAAACCATGTGTTTGCCTTAGTATTATTGTCATTTGTTTTCTACCTTTGGCCAGAAGACTTGGACTAAATGTGTGACTAGTTGCCTCACCATGGAACCTGTTTATGCTATAAATACAAATCTATTCTTTATAAAGAGAACGTGAAATCACTCTTTTTGAAAATCATATTATTATTTCATAATATATTAAAAATCAAAAATAAAGGATAAAATTGGTGTCCCCATTTTATTGGGCACCAAATCATCACTTCAAGTCATTTCTGGAATTTTCCCTTAATACATTCAGACTCAAGAAATTAAAACAAACAAACAATCATACAAATGCAAATAACAACAGAGAAAACATCTAGTCTGTAGAAGCATAATTTTATTTTTTGCTTATACGGGAAATAGTGTCTTTCCATTTTCCCTGCATCTACAGATATGCCAAGGATTCCTACAGTTTTAGACAAAGGGTCCTCTTTAGGTATAGCGTTCAGTGTAATTTTATACTTTCATAGGCTAAGCCATTCTGTCACAGGAACACCTTGCAATTAGATTTCTTTACCTGCTTGTGAAATGTCTCTTTTAACCTGTCATTGCTTTCCAGTGGTTTTAAGATATGGACCTGTACATATGGAATCACTCAGCATTCCTCAGCGTTCTATCTGTAGTTCACAGTTTTGATTCACAGCACATAAGGCCAGGATGCGAGGAGTCTAGTATCAGAGTCAGGGGCACAGAATTTAAGTCTAGAAAATTGTGACTGGGGCATTTGGCATTTCTGAGCAGAAATTCCCGGGACTCCAAAATTGTCTTAAATCAATGAGAACTTGTGAAATTTGGAAGTATGACCATCTTGCTCCACATACTTCCTAATTAACTCATCAGTTTTGAATTTTACTCTTTCTTGAAGGCAATAGAAATAAAATATAACACTAGGATTTACACCATCAGCTTCATTGTGAAAACTGAGTACAAGTAAACAAATAGCACACTAATAGGCAATAATAGTATGATGTAAATAAAGACCACAGATGCATGTAAAGGTGCAAAGGAGACCAGATGCCATGTGCTTGCAGTTCTGCTTACTGTCAGCAGACAGCACTCTGAGCATGTGGAAGTGTCAAGTTAAAGAACTCCAGGAAGAAGGAAGGCATGGGATTTCAGAATCATACTCTAGCTTGTATTGGACCGAAGATGATGTCACATGCCTGGTGATTAACAAACTAGAGTCACTTACCTATTACTGATTTATCCTAAATATAATAACTAATTTAAATGTAAGCCTAATAATGAATAAAGAATGAGGCCAAACAGACAGATTTTATGCTCTTTATGCAGATACAATTATCAGTGTGTCCTCATTAAATAAAATCTGGGGAGTTTAGTAGTCTTTGAGCAGCTTTATTATCTTCTACTATTTGCTAGTTTAGTAATCTTGGTAAAGTTACTTAAACTCTCTAAGATTCAGTTCCCTCGTGATTAAGTGGGAATAATAATGGTACCTTCTCATTGTCATGGAGTTGGGAGGATCAGCATGGAGTCTGGCACAGAGCAGGCACTGACATGGTAGCTGTTGCTATTACTATTACTACTTGACTTTTATCTAAAGCCTCCCGTGCCCTGCCTTGTTGGAAATAGGCAGGGATATAAGGAAATAAATAAATAATCAAAGTACATGGATTTTATGTGAATGTATCTTCAAAACTATTATTCTTATTCTACTTTCTTGTTTAGAAAATTCTTAAACAAAAATGAACCTCCATATAGCCATCACTCAGCTTAATCAATTATCAACATTTTTATCAATTTTGGTTTTTTTGTCTCCAGCATTATTTTTCTGGAATATTTTAAAGCAAGGAAATTAAATCATTCCACCTGCAAATACTTTAGCATTCATCTTTTTTTTTTTTTTAAGGTAGATTTTCTTTTTTTTTTAATTCATTCACTTATTTATTTATTTATTTTTGCTGCATTGGGTCTTTGTTGCTGCGCCGAGCAGGGGCTACTCTTCTTTGCGGTGGTTTCTCTTGTTGTGGAGCACGGGCTCTAGGCGCACGGGCTTCAGTAGTTGTGGCTCGTGGGCTCTAGAGCACAGGCTCAGTAGTTGTGGTGCATGGGCTTAGTTGCTCTGTGGCATGTGGGGTCTTCCGGGGACCAGGGCTCGAACCCATGTCCTCTGCATTGGCAGGCGGATTCTTAACCACTGTGCCACCAGGGAAGCCCCCTAGTATTCATCTTTAACCATAAGATTGTTTTCAAAACATAATCATTGTGCAAAATTGAAAATGAATTCTTAAGGTCATCTAATACAATATTTAAATGTCCATACTTGTCTAAGAAATGTCATTTTACAGTTGTTACCAGGTGTTAGGGAGTGGGGGAAATGGGGAAATGTTGGTCAGAGGGTACAAAGTTTCAGGTATGCAGGATGAATAAATTCTGGAGCTCTAATGTGCAGCAGGGTGACTATAGTTAACAATATTGTATTGTATACTTGAAATTTGCTGAGTAGATCTTAATTGTTGTCACACACAAAGGTTAACTGTGAAGGGACTGATATGTTAATTAGCTTGCTTGTGGTAGACATTTCACAATGTATACATATATCAAAACATCACCATGTACATCTTAATTACATGCAAATTTTTTGGTCAATTATACCTCAGTAAAGCTGGGGGGAAAAAAAGAAACATTGTTTTACAGTTAGTTTATTCAAATCAGGATCCAGACAAGGTCTACATATTGCATTTGTTTGTCATGTCTCCTGACTGTTTCTTTTTTTTTTTGCCATCAATATTTTAAGAGAAATCAGGTTATTTGTCCTTTCTGATTTAGCTGTTTGCTTCCTTGTGGTATTATTTAATTTTTCTGTCCTCTGTATTTCTCGTAATTTGGTTTTAGATGTAGATATTTAATTAGATTTGGTTTAAACTTTTTTCCTTAGTCAAAAATACTTCTCAGGTGTAAGTCAGACAGGGAAAGAGAAATATCACATGATATCCCTTATATGTGGAATCTAAAAAGAAATGATACGAATGAACCTATTTACAAAACAGAAACAGACTTGCAGACTTAGAGAACGAACTTATGGTTACCGGGCGGAAGGATCGGGGGAAAGGATAGTCAGGGAGCTTGGGATCGACATGTACACACTGCTATATTTAAAATGGATAACCAACAAGGACCTACTGTATAGCACAGGGAACTCTTCTCAATGTCATGTGGCAGCCTGGATGGAAGGGGAATTTGGGGGAGAATGGATACATGTGTATGTATGGTAGAGTCCCTTTGCTGTGCACCTGAAACTATCACAACATTGTTAACTGGCTATACTCCAATATAAATTAAAAAGTTAAAAAAAAATACTTCACAGGTAATGCTGTGCAATTTTTGTTGTATCACATCAGGAGGCATATACTGTCTGGATGTCCCAAATTTAGTGAGGCTAAAATTGATCATAGGACTCAGATGGTGTCAACCTGACCCTTCATTGCAGAATTCCTTATCAATCTTTCACCTAATCATTTTAGCATCCATTGATGATTGTTGCTTAGAACTATTATTGCATTAGGGATTGCATAATAGTGAATTTTCTACTTCTGTCATTTCTTCTGCACTTATTAGCTGGAATTCTTCCATGAAGAAGAATTTCTCCCTCATTAACTACTTGATAACCCTGGAAAAATAATTTGTATAGAAAAGACAAAATAAATACTTGATTTTTCCCTTTTATTTTTCAATATTCTGAGTAAT